CCAACTATGGATGGATCCTTTCCGTTTATTTCCAAATGTCACATTCCAATCACCAAGTAATTATCAATGCATCTTGATTGCATGTTTGATCAAGTTCTGACTAAAAAAGTTGGTAGAATTCTTCGATTTCATTATCACTGGCTTTAGTGGTTGGTGCATAAATTTGAATAGTAGTATTAACTGATCTTCCTATTTATAGACAGCATTATACTTCAAGATAGATCTTGCAATGCTTTTTTTTGACAATGAATGTGACACCATTCCTCTTCAATTTGATGTTCCTGGCATAATAAACCGTATAACTGTCAGATTCAAAATGGCCAATACCAGTCCATTTTAGCTCACTAATGCCTAGCATATCGATCTTTATGCATTCCATTTCATTTTGTACAACTTTTAATATTCCTAGATTCATATTTCATACATTCCATATTCTAATTATTAATGGGTGTTTACAGCTGTTTGTCCTCATTTTGAGTTGTGCCCCACCAGCAGGTGAAGGTGCCAAAAGCTTTGCTCCATTCTTGTCATTATGATCAACTCTACTTTGAAGAGGCAGCTCTTCCCCGGTCATATTTTGAGTGCATTCCATTCTAGGGACTCATCTTCCAGCACTGTATTTGACAGTGTTCCAATACTAATCATAATATTTTCATCTTCCAGTGCTATATCTGACAGTGATCTATGGCTGTGATTAAGGTTTTCATTGGCTGACCATTCAGAAGTAATCTGCCACCCCATCCTAGTCTGTCTTAGTCTGGAAACTGTGCTCAAACCTGTCCAACTTGACGACCCTGTTGGTATTTAAAATGCCTTTGGCATAGCTTTCAGCATCACAACAACAGGTAAAATGCCACAGTACAACAAACTGACAGATGAATAGTGGATATTTAGTCCTAGGTAAAGATATTTGGAAATCTCTGATTTATCATGAAGTACTTAGCATAAGGAGCTCTGGTAGCATAGTGGTTACGAATCAGGCTGTGACCTGCAAGGTCAGCAGTTTGAAACTACCAGTTGCTCCGTGGGAGAAAAATGAGGCTTTCTGCTCCCGTAAAGATTTACAGCCTCGGAAACCTTGTACAGGGTTGCTATAGGTCGGGACCGACTTGATGGCACTTAACAACAACAACAACAACAACTTAGCATATAAAACTACTATGGGTTGGTGCCACTAGTGCCTGGAGAATATTACTTCAGCTTTGTGAACACTACTACAGTAAAGTCAGCTTAAAATCAGTTAGCTGAGTACCTATTGAGTATATTGTACTACACTCAATAGGTACTCAGTTAAGTGTCAATTCTCACTGTTAACTGTCAATTGAGTCATTCCCCACTCATAAGAATCCTGTGTAGGGTTTACAAGGAGCATCTGGTGGGTTTGAACAACCAACCTTGCAGTTAGCAGTCCAGTGCTTACCCTATAGTGACACAATACTCCAATAGATAACGTAACAGTATTTCAGTTTGCCCTCTCAGGGGAATCCTTTGTAATAATAATTACTAACTTATCTGTTATATAAAGTTAGATTGAAACTACCAAAGTTTCTTAAGTCAGATATATATTCATAAGAAATATTTTTTAAAACTGGCAATTCCTTTAGTTAGTTTTGTGGAAGTTACACATTTTATAGAAATTTCCAAATGAAGAACATACTTTTAAAAATATCAATTTTGTTTGTCATGTGTCAATAATTGGAAATTGGTATGTCCAGAAAAAGAAATTACTGCCATTTCTGCGTATTCTATTCCTTAAAATAAACCCACAACCATTGATTGAGTCTATTCCTATTCATAACGCCCCTGTATAGGGTCCTGAGGCTTTATAGGAGCAGAAAGTCTCATCTTTCTTTTGCAGAGCAGCTGGTGGGTTTGAGCAACTGACTTTTCAGTTAGGAAAAATCCAGTGTTTATTCTACAATGCCACCAGATCTCATTCCCTTAAATTATACTTGTAGGTGCCATCAAGTTGGAACTGACTCATAGCAACCCTCTGCACAACAGAACAAAGCACTGCCCTGTACAGCACCAGCCTCACAAGTGTTACAACACTTGAGTCCATTGCTGCCGCCACTGTGCCAATCCATCTCACTGGGAGTCTTCCTTTGTCTGCTGGCCCTCTACTTTACCAAGCATGATGTCCTCCAGGGACTGGTCCCTCCTCATAATATGTTCAAAGTATGAGAGACAGAGTCTAGCCATTTTGGCTTCTATGGAGCATTCTGGCTATACTTCCAACACAGAATAGTTTGTTCTTTCAGTGGTCCGTGGTACTTTTAATATTCTCCTCCAACACTATAATTCAGAAGCATCAGTTCTTTTACAGTCTTCTTTATTCATTGCCCAACTTTCAGTACGAAGTGATTGAAAATACCACAACTTGGGTCAGTGCACCTTAGTCCTCAAACTGACATCTTTGTTCTTGAACACTTTAAGGAGGTCTTGTGCAGCAGATTCTCCAATGCAATACGTCATTTGATTTCTTGACTACTGTTTCCATGAGTGTTGATGATTGATCCAAGCAAAATGAAGTCTTTGAGAACTTCAATCTTTTCTCCATTTATCTTGATATCATTTATTGGTCCAGTGGTGAGGATTTTTGTTTTCTTCACATTGAGGTGCAACCATACCTAAAGTTGTGGTCTGTGATCTTCATCAGTAAGCATTTTAAGTCCACTTCACTGTGAACAAACAAAGTTATATCAACTGCAAGTTGTTCATGAGTCTTCCTCCAATCCTGAGGCAATGTTTTTCGTCATATAATGTAGCTTCTCGAATTATTTGTTCAACATACAGATTGAATACAGCCCTGACACACAGCTTTCCTAATTTTAAACCATTCCCTTAAATGGGAGTCCCTATTTAATGGTGGAACAAGGGCTATCATTGCTGATGTCAGAGGGATCTTGGCTGAAAATACAGACTACCAGGAAGCTATTTACTTTTGCTTTATTGACAATGCAACAGTATTCAACTGTGGATCATTACAAACTATGGATAACATTGGAAAGAATGGGAATCCTAGAGCACTAAATTGTGCTCAAGAGGAACCTGTATGTATACTAAGAGTGAGTCGTTGGAACAGAACAAGGGGATACTGAATAGTTTAAATTTAGGAAAGGTGTGTGTCACCATACTTATTCAGTCTGTATGCTAAGCATAATCTGAGAACTAAACTATATGAAGAAACACATGAAATCAGAATTAGAGGAAGATTCATTAACAGCCTACAGAGGATACAACCTTGCTTGCTGGAAGCAAAGACGACTTGAAATACCTACTGATGGAGATCAAAGACTACAGCCTTTATTATGGACTGCGCCTCAATGTAAGCAAATGAAAATCCTCATGACTTGACCAATAAATAGCCACATGATAAATGGAGAAAAGATTGAAGTTGTCGAAGACTTCATTTTGCTTGGCTCCATAAGCAATTCTCATGGAAGCAATGGCAGTCAAGAAATCAAATGATATATTGCATTAGGCAAATCTCCTGCAAAAGACCTCTTAAAAGTCTCCAAGAGCAAAGGTATTAGTTTGAAGACTAAGGTGTGAATGACCCAAGCCAAAGTATTGTCAACTGCCTCCTATGCATGTGAAACTGAACAATGGATAACGAAGACCAGAGAATAATTAATGCCTTTGAATTACGGTGTACTGAAAGTGCCATGGACTATCAAAAGAACAAACAAGTCTATCTTGGAAGAAATATAGCCAGACTGTGCCTTAAAAAGAGGATGGTGACTTCGTCTCTCATACTTTGGACATACCAGTTCTTGGAGAAAGACATCATGCTTGCTAAAATGGGAGTGTCAGCAAAAAGGAGGAGGACTCACGATGAAATAGATTGACACAGTGGCAGCAACAATGGAGTCAAACAACAATCATGAGGATGGTACAGGACTGGGCAGTGTTTTGTTCTGTTGTGCATAGAGTCACTATGAGTTGGAACCAACTCAATGGCACTTAACAACAATAACAATTTAATGGTTAGTGCAGCTAGCTGGAAAATTGGAGGTTCAAGTTTACCCAGAGGCACCTTTACAATCATTGAAAATCCTATGGTGCACAGTTGTATTCTGACACACATGGAATTACCAGGACTTGGGGTCAACTGGATGGCAACTGGTACTGCTGCTGATAGTCCCTTAAATATCATTTCTCCATTTCTTGCTCTTCTAGATCCCCAAAATGGTTTTAAAAGATGCACAAAGTGTACTCCATTTAGGCAAAAAACAACTCCCATGGAATAATTATTGCCACAGCAGTAGTATTGCACTGCAATCACAAGGTAGGATTTAAAAAACCCTCCTTAGAGTAAATTCTGGCAATGTAGAACTCTAATACTTGAAATCCAGTGCTTGAAATCTTTTACAGCATGTATTTATGTGATCGTAGTGGTGGTGGTTGTGTGCCACCAAGTCAGTTCTGACTCTTGGAGACCCTGGGCAGGGGTTCCAAGGCTGTAAATCTTTACGAGAGCAGAAAGCCTCATCTTTTCTCCCACAGGTACATTTATATAGGAAAGTGAAATCGAATAAAAAGATAACTTAAAAAAAAAGAAAGAAAGAAATCCATTCGAAAACATTGTTTCTCATAAAGTATTTGCTGCATAAGCACAAGTGAAAAATAAATTTGCTGTTTCCAACCCAAAGTAAATTAGATGAAAATGCAAAACTTCTGGCATTTATTTGCATACTGCTTTTCTTTCAAAAGCTCTTCAACACATTAGCATATTTTCATTGTTGATATTAGTACAGAACACAATTATTTTAGTCAGCAGTATTATAGTAGTTTGATTTGCAGTGCACTTGCAGTCTTCTTGATGTTGGGTGTTGTCAAGTACATTCCAACTCAGAGTGACCCCATGTCACAGCATAGAACTGGCCCATTTCTTGGCTGTAATCCGTACTGAAACACATCACCAGGTTTTTCTTCCCTAATGCTATTGAGTAAATTAGCAGCCAAGCATTTAACTGTTGCCTAAACCCAACATTGAATTAAAGATTCCAAGTTGCTGGTGGGTTCCTTGGTCCTTTGGGTTTTGAAAAACGATTTGCAAAACCTAGGAATAAAAATAAATTTAATACAAAGAGTAAGATTTTTATTAAAAAATTCATTTTTGTATGTTTTATAACATTGCAAATGTATTGCTAATGTTTTATAAAATACACAAATGCATGGATTTTTTTCAAAAGATTACACAACCTCCTAAACAAATGTAGCAATAGGTTAAAAAGGCATTTTACTAATTAAAGCTTAAGTAATAACACTAGAATACTAAGACATTTTAAATTTGTAGAGGACTTAAGCATTTAATAATGATAATAATTGTATGAAAAAATCTGGTTACAAAAGCCTCTGATAATTCAATATATAATATCCTTTTATGTGTCTTTTTACTCCCACCCGCCCACCTAAAAAACAAAAGTGGAAAATCCCAATTCCAGAAGAATAAGCACTATTTACTTTACATTAAAAATGATAGTATTAAATTCACTTATCCTCTTTGATGCATAAACTCCCTCCTTTACTAAGAAACTATGTTTGAAGAACTTAGAAAAATAAAATAATAAGCAATATTGAAAAAAATAAGTAGTTAAATAATCATCTTTATTCTCTCGTTCCCTCAAGTACTACTTCTCCCAGAGAAGGAGAATTAGGAAACTCTGACAACTTTTGAAGCTTTATTTCTGGGTACTTTAAAAAAAAAAAAAAACGTGCAGACTGATGACACTGGTTCTTTCTTACTTCAACAGCGTCCGACTTTCCCTTCCTTCGATGGAGACATGTTTTCAAGGTACCGCATTTACATTTAGTACGTTTGCCCACTGCCATTGCGTCGATTCTCTCATCGTAACCTTGTAGAACCTAGTAGAACTGCCCCGCAGAATTTCCAAAGCTGTAAATCTTTACAGAAGCAGACTGCCACATCTCTCTCCCTCTGAGAAGATGACGGGTTTGAACTGCTGACCTTTCAGTTAACAGCCAAGTGCTTAACCACGGCACCACCAGGTTAATGCTTAAACCAGGGAGCCACCAGGGCTCCTAAATCTATCAATGTTAAAAGACTGGGATTGGGGGAAGGGGCTGAGCACAGCGTACTTCATGTAGATTTTACTCCTCTGAGAGGTAAGAAAGAAGGAAAAATACTCCACTCATTTATTTCCTTAAGGTGGAGGTTCTAAGAAGTTTTCATAACTTTGACCCTCTACCCAAAACTCTAATATTTCAAACTTACACTAGAATTTCTGTGGTAAAATGAGGTAAACCATGTGTTATTCAAGCGGTATCGCTGACTAGGTAAAAAAGGAGGAAGCTATGAATATTTGTGGTCCAGAGTTGGGTGATTTTTGTTTCCCCTCCTAGGTTAACACAGTATGCTATGTGAATTTTATAAACAAAATCATTTCATAAAAATCATGCATTTGTTTTGGGAGTCACAACATTTAAAAATTTAGAGTGAATTCAATCAAAACAAAAATTCTATGGCTGAGAAAACTGAAAGCTAGGGAGTCTAGTTAAACATTTTGCCAACATGAGATAGGGATCAAAACTCAGGTGTGGCAGAAATAGGTATCTGCCAACCAAAACCATTTCATTGCTTTTTCCTCAAGAATATAATTGTACATGCATATGGGCAACTGGATGCCCAGCAAGTTTTCCAGTTTGCTTTGCAATTGAGATATTGTTGTCATTATTGCTAAGTGCCGTCAAGTTGGTTCCAACTCATAGCAACCCTGTTTAGGGTTTCTGATGAGTAGCTGGTGAGTTTGGACCACTGACCTTGCAGTTCAAATGAACCTTGAGGTCCAGTGCTTATCCTACAGTGCCACATCAGGACTGCAATTTAGATATAGGCACATTTCTAAGTACACATACAGAGAATGTGAGTGAAGGTGATATTGCCACTTCTAGACCACTGCCCCACCTCCTCTATAGTTTTCTTCATATTCTTGTCAGTAGCACTTTGGATTTGGCTGCGGCCCAATTTTGACTACACAGATACGGACAGTGCCATTAGAGCAAAATTACTCAAGGTGTGGTACAGGGACTCCAGGCAGACCCCTAGAACTTTGCAGGGACTCTGCTTTTTGGTTTTAGTAAGAATGTCTTACATAAATTAATACATTTCTTACAATGAAATTAGACAGCACTGCCTTATATAGTATCAAGATTATCTATCAGATAGAATAATTGTTGTTGTTGTTAAGTGCCTTAGAGTTGGTTCTGACTCATAGGGTTTCCAAGGATCAGCTGATGAGTTTGAACTGCTGACCTTGTGTGTTCAAACAGATCTTGTGGTACAGTGTTTTATCCCGCAGCACCACACTGGAACTCCAGATAGAATAACACAATGCTTAAAATAACATAAAAATATCCATTTGAGTTTATAACTTATTCTTGGAGACAGTTTCTTTAACAGAATTGTGCTTCATCTTTTGCTGAATGAGTATTACAAGACTGTTATTGTTGTGAAGTGCTGTCAAGTCAGTTCTGACCCACAGCAACCCTGTATAGGATTTCCAAGGGGCAGTTGGTGAGCTTGAACCACCGACCTTGCCATTCAAATGGCTTTGCAGTCTGGTGCATTAACCCACAGCGCCACACTAGGATAGAAGCAACTGCTATTCTTATTTTTAATCATACTTTAGTTTTGATTTGTTATATCTTTGATTTGAATATAAACTGGAGTATGACAGTGCCCTGGGATTTCTTCACGTTCATCTACTACCTTCCAGTGTAATAATGTGATGTTTGTTGTAAGTTGTCATCAACTAACTCTGTTGTACAGAAGCTTGGCTCCGACGGTTGGCAACTTTCTGTACAACAGTATGCTGCATCGCCCAGTCCTGCATTATCTACATGATCTTCTTCAGTCTTCTTTTATCATTGTCTAGCTTTTGCATGCATATGAGATGATTGAAAAGACTGTGGTTTGTGTTAGACACACCTTCGTCATCAAAGTGAAATTTTTATTTTTTAGAATTTCAGGGAAGTTTTTGCAGCAGAAAAAACTTGACAAAGCTTTGATTCTACTTGAGTCAACAATGAGGATGTCTGGTGGCACGGTGGTTAAGTGCTTGGCTGCTAACTAAAAAGATCAGCAGTTCGAACTCACTGCCACTTGAGAAGAGAAAGATGTGGTCATCTGCCTCCACAAAATTTGCAAGCACATATGGGAGCAGTTCTGCTCAGTCCTTCCTGTGTTGTTGTTGTTATTGTTAAGTGCATAGAGTCGATTCCGACCCATAGCAACAAGGCTGTAAATCTTTACAGGAGCAGAAAGCCTCATCTTTCTCCCATGGAACCGCTGGTAGTTTTGAACTGCTGACCCTGAGATTAGCAGCCCAATTTGTAACCACTACGCTACCAGAGGTCCTTCCTATAGGGTTGTTTTAAGTTATAATTGGCTCAATGGAAACAGGTTTATGAGATCAGTACACAGTGCCCATAGAAACAGCAGTCAAGAATTAAACAAGGTATTACATTGGACAAATATGCTGCAAAAGACCTCCATAATAATTTGATTATCTAACTTTCCCCCCAACTTGTGTTAGGCAATTCAGTCCTATGTGAGATATTAAAAAGTAGCTGAGGTCAAACTGCATGGAAAAGAATATAAACATAAGGACCTATATATACATGCAACTCTATATCATATTGAAATTTGTATTTCTTATACTACAAATGAATACCTGGTGTGGTGCTGTGGGTTAATGCGCTGGACTGCAAGGTCGGTTTGAACAGAAAGTTTGGCAGTTCAAGTTCACCAGGCGCTCCTTGGAAACCCTCTACAGGGTCGCTATGAGTCGGAACCGACTCTAAGGCACTTAACAACAACATAAATGGCTAATTCACATAGACTTTTTTTAAAACTGCAGGAAAGTGACACACATACCAAAATTCAGAAAGGAGCTGGAGTTACTTGACTGAGCAGATTCTGCAGATTTGTTTGATGAGGAAGAATTACAGATACCTAGAATCAAAAGAACAAAAAAGTTCAGGATAAGAATGAAGACAGAGTCATATTACTCCTCATTAGATCACATCATTATTGGCATTAAACATGTTCTCCAGAGCAATTAATACTCCCAAACAAATGTATTGCTATCAAATGTAACAAAATGTAAGTGCTTAAAAAAGAATCAAAACTTTATAATCTCATATGTGGGGCTTTTCTTTAGGTTGTTTTTGTGGTTTCTTTTATTTGCAACTAGATTATATAACAGCCTAACACTAAAGAGGCTTGCCAGAAGATTCAGGAATAAGTTTCATTGTATCATGAATCGACTTATTTTGAGATTTACATTTGGGTTTTGAGTACATTTTATTTTGTACTCTCATTACTCTTACTAAACCCTTTGCTTTCTACATTCATTCAACACATGATCAGTGTAAGTATTTTCTAATGCTGCTCTCTACTCCTCTTAGCAGTCTATACTTCTCCAATTATAGATGATTCTGAGTTAGACCCATAATTCCCCAGGAGCATTGCTCTGTTGCTTTATTGTTCTGTTTTATCTTTAAAATACTTAATTTTTCTTCTCAAAACTTTAATGTACTCATATCAGTATCTGATCAATTTTGAAAACATGAAAATGAGAATTTAGTCCACATTTTTTTGCATGTGAATTATCTAGCAGTGAAAAAAATTTTTCCCAAATTTAAGCTGGCTAAGAGAAAATGGGGAGAAATGATTAATTATTTTTGATTTGGAACATTTTCAGAATGCAGCATGAGGGCTGCCTGTATGTGTTTGTGTGTTGTGTGTCTGTTTATATATATAACCATGCACATAAGACTTTTGATACTAGGATTTTAGAAACTCACCCCTCCACCTTCCTGGGATGACCAGCACAGAGTGAATTTCAATATGATTCAAGTAAAGTGTGTATTTATTGAATACCTACTCTGTGCCAAGCTTAGAGGGTTCCACTGCCATATGGACCCTATAGGACAGACTGTAACTGCCCCATAGGGTTTCCGAGGTGAGGATGGGAGAAGACCAGGCAGTGTTTCATTCTATTATACACAGAAGAACTGTTGAGTTGGAACCAACTCAATGGCAGCTAACAACATAACAAATCTTTACAGAAGCAGACGGCCACACTTTTCTCCCACAGAGAAAAGCTGGTGGGTTAGAACTGCCAAGTTTTTGTTTCACAGTTGAGCACTTTATCCACTGTGCCACCAGGGTTACTCGCATTGTGGATAGAAATATGAATCAGAAATGGGTAAAGATGAAAATGTTCAGGAACTATCAATCATTTTTATATGGTATTTTCCTTGGGTAGGGGGTCAGAGGGGTTGGAGAGAATCACCCCAAAATGGAATATTGACTTTTCTACAAGACAAGGCTAAAATTCAGCACATATACTCCTACAGCTGAGGAAACTATTTTGCATATTGGCTTGGGTCTTAGTTATCTAATGCTGCCGAAAACCTGCCTCGACATAGGTGTTTGGTTCACGAGCTGGGGATATCTGGCAGCGATAGGGATAGCGAAAGAGAAGACACAGAAACACAACGAGAGAGAAAAAGAGACACCCCGAAACCAGAGTGGATGCGGGACTGGCATCAGGCAGATCCTGCATTGCAAACATCTCAGCCATGAAGGCCGTAATATTCTGCATAGTAAACATCTTGGCTAAACAGGCAGTATGGTTGCAATGCTGGACTGAGCCCCCTGCATGCTGTAACGCACACCTTGCCAGTCGTAATGCACCTGGATTCGTTCTGCACCTCCGTTTTATTTAGGGGAGGTACTTTACACAAATCTGGGTGGGACTAAGACAAGGTACAGCTAACATATGTAATTTTCCAGACATTTAGGCAGCTTTACATCGTACTTCGCAGGTTCGAATCTCATGACCGCAACTTGGTTTCTTAAGCTTAATTAACATACCTTTTAGCACCTAGCCTCAAATGGGGGACGGAAAAGGAGGATTGGGAGGAGTCCCATTGTGTCGGCTGCCCAGCCCAGGTTCTCCAGGAAAAGAGACGCCTGGGTGAATAGGGCTGCACCTGAAAACACTTTAGGGAGGGCAGTCCTATTGTCCTTAGAACAAAGACTTGGGAAGCCACCCAATTTACTTTGACTGAATTCTTTGAGGGAAGAACTTTGCCTTTTTGGAATTTTACAGTCTCGGCTTTTAGGAAAATATTACATTTATCTGTGGATCTCAAGGGCTCATGTATGCAATTAATAATAAACCTAACTGAATACTAAGATGAAAAATAGTTTGCTATGTCTGCTAGGTGGCTAGAGTTTGTTCCTCAGAGCCTGCGGCCTGTATGGTCTGCAACACTTGGGCCCACAGGGCCTCAAACTCCTGACCGGGTCTGCATGGTCTGCAGCAGTTATCTAATGCTGCTATAACAGAAATACTGTAAATGGATGATTCTGACAAATAGAAATTTACTCTCTCACAGTTTAAGAAACTCGAAGTCTGAATTTAGGATGCCAACTCTGGTAGCGTAGTGGTTACGAATCGGGCTGCGAACCTTACGGTCAGCAGTTTGAAACTACCAGCTATTCTGTGGGAGAAAGATGAGTCTTTCTGCTCCCGTAAAGATTGACAGCCTCAGAAACCCTGTACAGGGTCGCTATGAGTTGATTCCGACTCCATGGCACATAACTACCACCACCAACTCTAGAGATGTGTGTGGCGCTGTGGGGTTAATGCGCTGGACTGCAAAGTTGGTTTGCACCAACCCCAAGGTTGGTGGTTCAAGCTTACCAGTTGCTCCTTAGAAACCCTACACAGGGTCACTATGGGTCGGAACCTACTCAACAGCACTTAACAACAACAACATAGAGTTTCTGAGGCTGTCAATCTTTATGGGAGCAGAAAGCCTCATCTTACTTCTGAAGAGTAACTGGTGGGTTTGAACTACCACCCTTGTGTTTAGGAGTCCAGCATCTATCCTATAGCACCACCAGAGCTCCTTAACCACAGGCAGTGGTTAGGATTTTCAACACATCACAACATGGAGAAAAATCACATTAATACTGGAAATCCTGGTCAGGATGACCAGACTTCATCTCTCATACTTTGGGTATATTGTCAGGAGGGACAAGTCCTTGGAGAAGAATATTAAGTTTGGTAAAATGGAGGATCAGAGTAAAAGAGAAAGACCCTCAACGAAATGTATTGGCACAGTGGCAGTAGTGATGAGCTCAAATGTAGCAACGATTGTGATGTTGGTGCAGGACTGGACAATGTTTTGTTCTGTTGTGCATAGGGTCACTATAAGTTGGTACTGACTCGATGGCACCTAACAACAACAACAGTTTTGATCTTCAGGTCTGAGATAATCAAAAGAAGTTGTACTTATTGTAACCATGGCAATGAAACGATATACAATAGGATGAATGTAAAGCTAATGTTCTCCCATGTCAACTATCACATAATTCACAACAAAACATTAAAAAAAAAAAAAAAAAGTGCAGGGTGCTGGTGGATGCATGACCCAAATTCTGTCTCCTTCCCTGAACCTGGCTCCCTTCTGTATTGACAGCCAGTGTACTTAGAATAAAAGGTTGTGATTTGATTTAAAAAAAAAAAAGAAGTTGTACTTAAAAGGAAGGCAGTTGGAAATAATTCGTTTGTTGTGGATGGTTGTTAATGAGCTCTTCAAGATTTCCACTAGTGTTTTTCATCTTGAAATATTTACTTAAAAAACCTTGCGCACTCACTTTCTGTCCTTTGATACTGTGTCTTCACAGTTCATTAGACTATTGCTGATACCAACAGGGAGGAAAGTGATCACAAAGAGCATGCTGCAAATGCAAGGGTATGCTCAATTTTGTTGATACTTAGGCATCAGCAAAACAGGGCAACCAGTTGTTCAAAGCAAAGAACTATAGATGCCAAGCAGACAGGACATAAAAAAAAAAAGAGTACTACAATGGGAGGAACTGGCAGGACACTAAACGAAAATTGATACTAGCTTCAGTGTGTGATAAGGAGCTCTGGTAGTGAAGTGGTTATGAGACCGGATGCTAATGTCAAGGTCAGTGGTTCAAAACTGCCAGGGGTTTCATGAGAGAAAGAGGAAGCTTTCTGCTCCTGTAAAGATTTACAGCCTCAGAAATCCTATACAGAGTCGCTATGAGTCAGAACTGACTCCACGGTCCATAACCACCACCACCAGTATGTGATAATGTGCCGGTCAGAAATAAAGTTCACACAGTGTCATCATGAGGGTGTTTAAATTATGAGACCCCCACTACCACTTCAACATCTTCATTGACAGCTGTCTCCTGTGGTCCCTCTCTCTTGTAGAATTTCTATTATGAAGCACTAGAGGAAATAAGGGAAACACATACCAAACTCTTTCATACTTCAGAGCTTTTGCATATGCTGTTCCCTCTATCTAGAGTGCTTGTCTCTCCATTCTTTGCCTAGCTGGCTCCTCCTTCATCCTCTGGTTCGTCACTTCCTTGGGGCTTCCTGGACTACTCATTCTAAAGTGGGCCATCTTTGCTATTCTCATAATCACCCTCTAAATTTTCATCACAGTGTGTTATTATGTATGTATATATAGTTGTGAGTTTACTTGTTAGTAGCCGAATGGCTCAGTAGGCTAAAGCTTCACAAAGTCAGGGCCCATCTCTATTCTGTTCACTGTCATCTACCCAGTGACTTGCAGAATGCCTGGCACATAAAATAAATACTATTTAGTGAATGAATGAATAGCATTAGTTAGGCCTAGATGCTAGTACAAAATAACAAAAGAATCCTAATTTCATGAACAGTAAAGCCACTTTATCAAAAGACCAGCTTACGGGGATCCAGGCTAAAAGAAGAAGCTCCTAGTTAGCACAAACAATTAAGCACTAGCTAAAGTTGGCAGTTCAAACCCACCTATAAGCAATCTGCTTACAAAAGGTTACAGCCTTGAAAACCATATGAATCAGTTGTACTTTGCACACATGGAATCACTGTGAGTTAGAACGGATTCAACAGTAGCTAGCCACAATAAAAAGCTAAATGAATATACAGAAGTATGGAGTCATGAGCCACCTAGAGGGGGCAGAAGACACATCTGTAAGTACAGGTCTATCAAGATCAATCTGGGGACCCAGTTATTATTCTTCATTTAAGAACAAAAGACCAAAGGATCAAGGAGGCTGAGAAATAGAAGTATAGCTCTGCCTGGATCTAAAAAATGACCTCTGGTGGCTCTTACCTAGAGATGAGACTGGGAGTCTTTGAGTGTTCCATCATATCTTGAAGTTGTACCAACCTAAGTCTGCCTGGATTTACTGTCTTTCTTAGCTATTCTCAAAATGAGCTAGAGAAAGGAAGCTAGGATTTTCATAAGCTAAACTGGTCAAACCAATCTTTGATTGGCTACTCAAGCCACTCATTTTTATTGTTGTTTGTTTCTTTGGGGCTGTTTTATTTCCCATGGTACCTACTGTAATTTCCTTTTGAAATATTTGAATTCTATTTTGACTCACCTTGGGGAAAGGACATATTTCCAACCATACTTTATCATTTTTATTATATTTCAACGATCAGATGTGATGGCACTAGCTCAAGCATCAGGATGTTATTTAGCGTAAGGAGAAAATAAAAACACAGACGAGAGGACTAAGATTCAGCTATAAACCTTCTTACTGAGGCTATAGCTTAATCAAGTTTTCTCAGTGCCCTTGACCCTTCCTTTGGTGGTGGTGGTGGTGGTGGTGGTTAGGTGTCATCAAGTTCGTTCCGACTCATAGTGAACCTGTAAAGGTTTCCCGTGGCTGTAAAATTTTACAAGTGCGGAAAGCCTCATCTTTTTCCCACAGAACAGCTGGTGGACTCACAGTGCTGACTTTGCAGTTAGCAGCCCAATGCGTAACCCACTATAGGGTTCCTTGTCCCTCCCTATAGCACCAGTATTCCTTGTCCTTCCTATAGCACCAGTATAATGCCAAATATTGTGTGGATCCTTCATAATTATCCAAAGTAATCAAATTTTTTCAAGTATCAAATTTGTGAAAAACATATTGCTATGTTTTATGTGGACTCCTGGTGTGGCGCTGTAGGATCAGCACTGGACTTGAGAACCACAAGGTTGGCAGTTCAAACTCACCAGCTGCTCCTTGGAAACTTATACAGGTTGGCTATGAGTCAGAACTGACTCGACGAGCAGTTTATAACAGCAAGTGTTTTATGTACTTGGTAGTTGTAAGCACAAATTTCTAAGATAATTAAGTCCCCACAGTTTCAGAAGTCTATGGCTTTTATTTTCATTACAATATAGCAAAAATAGTAAGCAACAGACTTTTATTGCTAATAATACTTGGTACAAATCGAAATGTGTCAATGCTTTGCTTATTTCCTAAAATCAACACATTTGTTTCACAATATGCTTTGCTGTGACTGTTTTTAAAGAAAATATATCTGAGGTTAGACTGTGGGGGATTTTAAATATCACAAATGAATGACAGCATTTTAGGATGGGTAGAAATTTCCAAATATCACACTGATTATTATTCCTGTCTATTAAACACAAACTCTCTCACCCCTTACTCCGTGCCCAATATTAACATTGTGGAGTCCAGAAAGTACAAGACCTTCAAGTAATTGTTCTGATTCCTCGGGCCCTAGAGAGAGTCTGTTACAGAGTAACACTGTTAACTTGGTTATATAAGGAAAATTGCTTCATTGTGAAAGTGTACTCATTTACGAGTACATACTCATAAACTCTGAAAAAAGTATAAAAACTTACCTTTTTTCATATTTCGTAGAATTTTCAAGCTCTACAAAACGAAGAAAAGTAAAATGTTAAGTTTCTCCACATGAAATCCAAGATACTTTAATAAAATAGAAATATAAACCTCAGCCAAAAACATTACCTACCTAAAATAGCACAATAAAATTGCACAATTATTTTTCTATCTTGCCAGTTTTAACTCAATGAAAAGTCTCTATTTGGTCTGATCTTGTCATTTCTCCCCACTCCCAAATTTACATACTTAGAAAGAGTGCAGGACTGTTAGCTTCAAGGCTGGCTGTTCAAACCCACCAGCCTATCCTCGGAAACCCTATGATTAGAACTGACTCGATGGCATTTAACAACAGCAACAGAAATAGTTCTATCAAAATATCGGGTGAAAATGAAGTTTCTAGTTCTCTTTTTAATTCAGACCATTCCAAAACTGGCAGTAACTTGTAAAGGTAGCACTGAGATATAGCTATTCTTATTTGAACCAAGAATTTCTACCCATCATACTCTACTCAGTTTACTTAGATGGGCTTCCATACTTTTGTCTATGCTACTCTCTTCTTCCTTCAGCAAACCCATGTCTTCTGCCTCCTTTATGCTGAAGTCTCAGATTGATCACTTCCATAACTCTACCCAAATTTCTTACTCAACATTTCCTCATGTTCTTCATGGGTTATATTAGTGCTTTATTCTTTTTGATAAGTCACATGTTTTCCACAGTGTTATTCTCTTCTAGCAGATAAACTGTAGTTTTTTCAGGGCAGGTAGCTGTTTTCTGTGACATTTCTATTTTCCAAACATCTACGCCAAGCAAAATGAAGTCTTTGACAACTTCAATATTTCCTCCATTTATTTTGATGCCATTTATTGGTCCGGTAGTGAGGATTTTTGTTTGTTTGTTTGTTTTTTTGCTTTGAGGTGTTACCATACCAAAGGCTGTGGTCTTGGTCTTCATCAGTATTTTAAGTCCTCTTGGCTTTCAGCAAGCAAGGTTGTATCATCTGCATATCGCAGGTTGTTAATGATTCTTCCTCCAATCCTGATGTCAGTGCTGTTCCCCATATAATCTAGCTTCTCAGAGTATGTACTCAGCATACAGATTGAATCAGCATGGTGAAAGAATACAATCCTGGTACACACTTTTACTCATTGTAAACCATTCAGTGTTCCCTTGTTCTGTTCTAACAACTGCCTCTTGCTCTATATACAGGTTCCTCTTGAGCACAATTAAGTGTTCTGGAAAACTCATTCTCTGCAATGTTGGCATAGCTTGTCATGAGCCACACAATCAAAATCCTTTACATAGTAAAATACAGGTAAACATCTTGTCAAAGTCTTCATTTTGCTAGTACCAACTATCAACACTTAGGAAGCAGCCATCAAGAAAATGAACAATGTATTTCATTGGGCAAATCTGCTCAAGACCTCTTTAAAATGTTGAAGAGCAAAGATGTCAGTTTGAAGGCTAAGGTGCACCTGACTGACCCAAGCCATGATATTTTCAGTAACCTCATGTGCAAAAGTTGGACAGTAAATAAGGAAGACTGTAGAAACATTGATGCATTTGAGTTATGGTGTTGGAGGAGAATATTGAAAGTACCATGGATTGCCAAAAGAACAAACAGATCTAAATTGGAAGAAGTGCAGCCCGAGTGCTTGGAAACCAGGATGGCCAGACTTCGTCACTCATTCTTCAGACATATTGTCAGCTATCATGTTTGATAAAATGGCAGATCGGAGTAAAAGAGGAAGACCCACAGTGAGATGAATTGACACAGTGGCAGCAGCAATGGACTCAAATGTAGCAATGATTGTGAGGTTGCTGCAGGACTGGGTGGTGTTTCATTCTGTTGTGCATAGGGTCACTGTGAGTCCATTCTGACTCAATGGCACCTAACAGCAACAACAAACATCTAATAGAAATGTGCTATTCTATATAGTATATCTAGTATGTAATTGTTTAATTTTAATTTATACTTAAAATAACTGATTTATAATTCAATCCGAATGTACATAAAGAAATATAGTTAAATTTTACCATCCCATTCTTGTTCCAGTGTGGCACTATAGGGTAAGCACTGGACTAGTAACCTCAAGGTTGGAGATTCAAACCCAGCAGACAGCCATTGGAAACCCTATACAGGTTCGCTATGAGTTGGAACCAACTAGATGACACTTAACAACAGCAACGTGCTTATTCCTCATCTGCCCAGTTTCTAACTCATCGCTCTAGATAACCATTTTGTTAGTTTCTTCTTCTTCCAGGGTTGAATGAAAGTAAATACAAATAGAGATATTTCCCCCTTTTAAGTAAAAGTTGATGTTTTTGTTGTTAAGTGCCATTGAGTCAGTTTCAACTCATAATGACCCCGTAGGGGTTTCCAAAGAGAGGCTGGTGGGTTTGAACCACCAACCTTTGTAGTCCGGTGCTGATCCTACAGTGCCACGCTGGGACCAAAAGTTATTAAATTACATATAAAGACATCAAGAGTCCTCATTTGATTTTTAGCTTTATATTATACCATTGTATGGTTGTATGATATGATTTTGAATTTATTTCATCCGTCCCTCTAATGATTAAGATTTGTATTGTTTCTAGTCATCTGCTCTTATAAATTATGCTGCAGTATTTAACCTAGTATACATTTCATTTATGTGAGAGCATATTTGGATAAATTCCTAGAAGGTACACTCGTTGGATCAAAGGATATGTGCATTTGTAATTCTGTTAAAACATGCTAGATTGTCCCGTTCTGTAGAACCTGTATTACTTGACATCCCCACCAACAATGTGGAGTAGGCTGACTTCCCTACTATAGTGCATGATCAAGCTTTTTCAATTTGCCAGTCTGATAGATCAAAATAGTATGTTACTGTGGTTTTGTTTTTGCATCTCTCATTATGAATGAAGCTGAGCATATCAAACATTTAAAGGTTATACCATGTGTATTTTTTTTTTTTTTAACTATCTGATCATGTATTTTGCCCATTTTTCTTTTATGGTTATTGTTTTCTATGAATTTCTAGGAACTCTTTATATACTTGAGAAATAACCCCTTTGGCTATGATGCCAGTTGTAAATATTTTTCTCCAAAAAATTCTTTATATTTTTATTTTTAAGGTGTGGTGTTTTTTTTGCCATTGAGCATTTTATAGTTAGTAATTTAACTAAATTCATATACATTTTTTATGAAATTTTAGATTTGGGGTCATAATTATAAAGGTCATTCCCACTCCCAGAATATAAAGGAATCTTCTATGTTTTTTTAGTGCGTGTATGGTTTTGTGTTCTTTGTTTAATTTAAATATTTTATCCATCTAGAATTTATTCTGGCATAGGTGTGAGCTATGGATCCCACTTCAGCTTTTATTTCTCCTCTCCCCCAGCTAGGCAGTTATCCAGCTGATTTAACACCAATTTTTAAAATGTCCATCTTTTCCCACTGCTCTGAGTTGCCACCTTCATGATATGCTTGTTGTTGTTAAGTGTCGTCGAGTCGTTTCCAACCCATAGCAACCCTGTGTAGGGTTTCCAAGGAGCAGCTGGTGAGCTTGAACCGCCAACCTTGCAGTTCAAACTGACTTTGCAGTCTGGCGCATTAACCCACAGCACCACACCAGGTCTCATGATATGCTAAATTCCTAAAAATATTTGGATCTCTTTCTGTACTTTTTGCGCTGTTCTGCTGGTATGTGGTTATTTTCATGCACCAGTAGTTAAGGCTTTACAATGCTTTAATAAATGATACGGTTATTCTTCTCTTTTCTTCTTTAAAGTTTCCTGGCTATTCTTGCTTTTCTCCTCCCCGCCCCCTACCATGTTTGGATTATTATCTAGTTCTAGGGGGGAAAGTTGATATGTTTATTTGGCATATTTTAAATGTATAAATTAATCTTCATGGTGGTGGTGGTTGAGTGCCATCAAGTCGTTTCTGACTCATAGCAACCCTGAATAGGGATTTGAAACTGTAAATCTTTATGGGAGTAAAAAATTAATCTTAGTGAGAAAGAAATTCTTAACAAAGTTGTATCTTTTTCTTCTTTTTGATTTTGTTCTATTAACTTTGATTACTTTAAGACCAGCAATCTATTGTGAAGATGTTTCATCTAATTTTCTATCCTAATGATAAGAGGAGGAAAACCTTCGGTAATGGAGTTTTTTCCTACAACTCCCATCTTCCTTACCCTACTCCTTGTGAAAGTTTTCCCAGGAGTCTTCAATATCTGCTTTGAAGATGTTGAGTTTTCCATGGTGTCATCACAGCCAGCAGAATAAGCTTCTCCAGATTGGGCTTGCATACCTAAAAGACAGACAAGGGAGGAAAAAGAAACATTTTGGTGTATAGTTTCTTAAGCTTCCAGGTTAACATGTACAAATGTATATTCAGTAGTCCTTAGCTAGGCTTGATGGCACTTAACAACAGCAACAAAGGCCTTTTTAGACTTTATTTTTATTATACATTATGCTTTTTTAATGTATTCTATTTATCCTACTTAATTATTCTTTTCTGATTAGGTTCTACTTTATTTTTAACCTTTAACACTCTCATTTTTATAACTTTTTAAAAGAGGAAGTACTGCCACTTACAATCTTCATCAGCAAGAAAGAAGGACTCTAGGGTTCTTTCTGGAAGTGGAGGTGGTGGGGAAGAAGAACGACATTGCTGTAGATCTATGGTAGGAAGAACATATAAAACAAAGAAATCTATCAGTTAAAATTCATAACCAAAGACGCCTTTTGGCCTTAGAGAACTTTTTAAAATTATTCAGTATCAGTCTACAACCACCAAATAAATTGTCTGAATGATGACTACAGACCCCTGAACGATGGGATTTTCTGTTCTGACCTGAGTTCTATCCCTTGATTGTGTTTTGTTTTTTAACTTCCACTATTACTGCCTTTTAGTCCTGGTGTGGCGCTGTGGGTTAATGCACCAGAATGCAAAGGCGTTTGAACTGCAAGGTTGGTGGTTCAAGCTCACCAGCTGCTCCTTGGAAGCCCTATACGAGGTCGCTATGGGTTGGAATAGACTAGATGGCACTTACCAACAACAACATTACTGCCTTTTAGTATCACTATCATTATAAATCTGATCTTGTCTATGAACATCTGCAAGAGAACATCTGAGAATGACGACATTAGCAAATAATGCATTGCAACATTGTGTAGGAGCTCTGGTAACGTAGTGGTTGCAATTAGAAACTACCATCTGTTCCGCAGAAGAAAGATGAGGCTTTCTGCTCCCGTAAAGATTAGCAGCCTTGAAAACCCTGTGCAGGGTCACTATGGGTTGGAAAGACTCCAGGGTACTTAATAAACATAGTACTAATCATCAGATATATGAAAACAACAACAACAAAAACAGATGGTCAGAAGCATGGTTTGTGGTGACTAGAATATGTGGTAAGTCAGGAACTGACTACCTGTGGTGATCAAGAACTTGGTTCATCTAGTTCTTTAACTAATGAGTCTTTGAGTCATCAAAAACTTACATTTCACTCACAAAAGTATTCTTCCAAAGAATTTGAATTTGAATTGAATCAAGCTTCTAGATCTAACTACCATTTACAGGAAATTCTGGGGGTAGAGGAATATAGTAAATAAAACCATGAAGATACAATTAGACAAATACAGAATGTTAGCAGTCTTTAGGACAAGTGATCCACTCACTCTTTTGAACAAATAAATAGCATGGGAAAATATAAAAAATGAGGGAAACTGTTATACATGAAAAATTTTAATATATTTTAATAATATAAACATATAAACTAAATGCAGTGTATGGACTGAATCCAGATTCAAATAAACCTAACTATATAAAAAGACATATTTATGGTAACTGGAAAAAGCTCAATTCAATCTGAATAGAAGCAAAATTTTAAAAAGATTCTATTTGAAATAACATTTTTAAAAAAGGGTTATATATCAAAGATCAGAATTCTAAAATCTTGTCTTCACCTTGCCTTTGACAAAATAAAACTTTTAGCTTGGGAAAAGAATTCTGGTATGGTGCTGTAGGATAAGCACTGAACTGCTAAACAACAGGTTGGAGGTTCAAACTTACCCTCATCAGAAATTCTATACAGGGTCACTGTGAGTTGGAATCTACTCCATGGCACTTAACAACAACAAAAAGCTCGGGAAACCAAAAATAAATCAATAAATAGATGTCTCCTGAGGTGAATTACTTGAAACTTAATGAGTCATTTTTACAGTATAGATTCTTAGAGCTAAATGTCATCTTAAGCCAAATGAATTTTTTTTTTTTTACCTGATTTGGAACAACGGAGTTTTACACTCTAAAAAAGAGAAAGAAGAAGTCAGACAAGAATATATACATAAATCTGTACAAATTCAAAGCAATAAATGGTATATTTGAAATTATATTTCATATGCTTATAGAGAGAGTTAGAGTCCTGGTATGGTGCTGCAAGGTAATGTGCTGGACTGCAAGGTAGGTTTGAACTGCAAGGTCAACGGTTCAAGCTCACCAGCAGCTCCTCGGAAACCCTATGAGTCAGAACTGACTCGATGGCACTTCACAGCAACAACAAATGACTAATATAAACAAGCTATCTACTTATGCAACATTTCTTATTTTCTCCTAACCATCCTAGACTCAATTCGTATTTCCTCTTTCACTAAATCTTCTGTAATCACTTCCAGCTAGAAAATATCTCACACATTCCAAGTCACTTTTTATATTTAATGTGGCACTGGTCATATTTGCCTTGTTATAACAAATATAGACAAAAAAAATGAAGACTTGTACCTATCCTGTATCTCCAGATTGGACTATTCGTTCCTTAAGGATAAGAATTGTGTCTTAGACATCTTTTTACCTCTCTCCCTCTAATATATTATCTTATAAATAGTAATCTCTGGTTATTATTTACTGAGTGCTATGTGTTCAAATGCAGTAATCGACTGGATGCAAATGTGGGGAATAAAAAAAGTCATTGGCCTTGCATGGTCTAAGTCTTACAGGGTCATTAGATGTTCCACTCCAGTCCAGTGATGCATCCGTTTTTACCTTCACAATTGAAGATAATGGTTTGGGAGCACTTGGTGGGTATTCTCCTGGAAAAAAAAGCAAAAACAGTTCAATTCCTAGAAGCACTGTTATTTTAAGAAAGCAAATGTTACTGAGCAATAGCAGACAGGACACAGAACCAGAGGTAATCTGGTTCATCCACACTTACTGAACTGAACTCACCTGCTTCCTCAACCACAATGAAAGATTCAGGTGTCCGTTCTGGCAGTGGAGGGGGTATTTCATCATCTATCTTTGGAGAAGTTGCTATTCAAAATGTCAGAGATATAATCACGAGTTTTAAATAAAACAATCCAAAGAAAATTCTTATATCCTAGTCTAGATTACATTCCTTAAAGAACTCTTAATATTTATATTAGTACCTGTTCATTCAAGGAAAAAAGAAATGATCTCATGTTAAGCTGAAAATTTAGGAGGTGTTTGCCATTTCTTCAAACTATTACTTCTTTTAAAATCCCAAAAGTATTTCCATTGAGTTGCTGAGTATATTAGAAAGCACCTTGACATGGCAAAACTTCAGTTACATGATAAATAAACTTACAAACATTTTAGCATCTGTCCTTAGTTCTACACAGACGCCAAGAACATAGATGAATTTCCTGTTTGCAAAACAACAGTATAACCGGGTCTTCTACATTTCTGTAGAAATGTACAGAATTTTTATAGAAAATGATGTCTAACATGCTGTTGTAAGAAACTACCACCAGATGGCACACATGTCAGTGTTGCTACAATCCTTGAAGTGAACAGTATTTTTTGTTGTTTGTTAATTTTATTGCTAATGAGAGAAGTCTTAAGTATTATGGATGTCTAGAAAAAGAAAATACCTTTAAATTTTAAAAAATGAGATCAAAGTATATAAAATATTCAACGAAAGAACTTCCTAGGTCCAGATAAAATATTTTTGTAACAAAGCTATAAATGAACCACACCTCTGGTTTTAAAGAAACTCTATAAACAGATGATGATATAGAACAAGTTTTCTTTATTTCCTATTCAGGTAGAATTTTTTTTTTTTTTTGTAATTATCTAATGAAATAACTAAGAGATTTAAGCTTACAATTTGCTTTCCTTTACCTTCTTCAACATAAAATTATTCTAACCATGTCTAACAAGAAAGCCACTTCTGCTTTTAAATCACTCAGTAGAACACAGCAGTGTGTATAGTAAGCAAAATATCCACAATCTTAATAGAGATAAAGTATGAAAATAAAGGTGTACATAAGATTAAAAATTCCAAACAGAATATTGAGCACATATTCTTATCTAATAAGTCTCTGGAGTCCTGGTATGGCAGTGTAGGGTAAGCACTAGACTGCTAACTGCAAGGTTGGTGGCTCAAACCCACCAGCCACTCCTTGGAAACCCTATATAGGGTCACAATGAGTCAGAGCCAACTTGAGGGCACTTAACAACAGTATGAGTTGGAATTGACTTCACAGCACACAACCACCACTACCCCCCACACACACATTTTAATACTGCTCTTCTCAACTTGCCTACATCATTAAATTGTTCCTGAAATTTATTTGAGGAGGAGGAGGAGCACTAAGAAGAAAGAGAAGGGAAGCAGGAAGGAGAAACCAAATCTACAGAAATAAAATGAAATCCAAACTGGCATACCAACTTAAAAAACAAACAAACAAACAATAACTTACCCACTGTCTTCTGGTTCGGTGGTGGGGGAAAATTAGTTGGAGAATTCAGTGCCAAAGAATTATGTGAATTGTAATAAGAGAAAAGGGTTGTAGACGATGTTGACAGCAAAGAACAAGGAAACATGGCTCCATCCTGCTTCTCAGGTAAATCAAGAGACATTTTAGAATCAGCACGACCTGGAGGCACTGGTGAAAAATAAGGATCTTCTACTAAAGACATGTAGGAATATGCACTAGGACCAGGTTGCTTTCCATTAGAGGCATTATGTATTTGGTATTGAGGGTCATTTGGCAGTGAGCAATTCAGTTCTGCTGATGAAGCATACATCAGACAAGAATTGTGCCGTTGACGTTCCATATAAGAAATATTTTCATTGCTGTCCAATTCCTTCATGTCTCTTTGCTGTATCAACTCAAAGGGAGTTGATTTGGTCCGTATAATTGGCTGCTTTGGATGAAAATATTTTTCTGCAGTATTTATAGGTTTTGAATTTGGACATGCTCCAGACAAAATGGAGCTCAAGTCCAAACTCTGATGCTTCTGAAGAGATTCCCCAGTCATTGGAAATTCCTTTGTCTCCCATTGCATGGCTCTGTCGGAAATTTTGTTACAATCACAATTTAGTTCCAAAAAGTCAAAAGATGTGCACCGTGCAGTAGGGTGCAAAACACACCTTTCCCTCTCACTGATTTCAGAAGTCCTCTGGTCAAAGGAAAACGCCCCTGCTTTTTCCACTTTTGTTCCTGGTTTGTTCTGTGTGTTCATCATCGTTGCTTCGTTTATGGAGCTAAAACAGAAAAAGTAATGATGAGGTCTCCTACAATCATAATAAGTTACAGGCATGAGATTCGCCTCTCACACACAATATTTAGATGGTGTATAAAACTGTACTTACCTTATTGATAAACTAAGAGAAGAACAGCCTGCTTCTAGAGTGGAATTTTGCTCAGGAACTGAATACTTTGCTTGAATCTTCAAGAGAAATAGATTAGAGATTGGTTTTTAACATTGGCAAATGAGATATTTGGGAAGATAAGGAAAAATTCATCAAATAAACTATTTAAATGGATACTGGTGGCATCGTTGGAGTCCTGGTGTGGTGCTATGGGTTAATGCGCTGGGCCGCAAAGTCGGTTTGAATTACAAGATAGGTGTTTCACCAGCTGCTCCTCGGAAACCTTATACAGGCTCGCTGTGAGTCGAAACTGACTCTACAGCACTTTACAACAACAACAAAGTGGCATCACTTGGTGGGGTAAGGGGCAGGGGTGTGAACTGCACCCCCTGACACTGTTAGAGGAAGTAACACCAAAATGACTCCAGAGTCTACAGTGGTTGTGACTCACAGGCCAGGGTGCAAGGGGAAGGACAGGTAAGGCAGTGGCATCACTAGGCTTGATGTCACTTATTGTCCAGTGTGAAAACTCGTCACCACTATCACCCCCTGACAGTTAGGAGGTTACTGCACTGGGGGACACCAGCCCAGTGATGCCACTGACCGATGCTTTCATATCAGCAATTCAGAAGTTGATGGAGCCCTGGTGTGGCGCTACAGGTTAATGCACTGGGACTGCAAGGTGGCTGGTTCAAGCTCACCAATTGCTCCTTGGAAACCCTATACAGGGTTGCTATGAGTTGGAACTGATTCGACATCACTTAGCAATAACAACAACAGTCACAAGTCAGAAATAGTCCTTTAGAAAACACAAAGATTTAAAATGATTCATGAAGGAGTTACATAAGCTTCCAAACCATTGAGCCTAGTAAGAATGTATCTACCCACTGAGATCAAAAGGATTAGAATAAAGAATTAATGGTGTTATAGAAACTCAAGAGGATTTGCTTGCAGCATGATCCTTTCAAATGTGGAAGTTTAAATATGTTCTTGGGACATATTTATTCTCAAGAGCCCTCTGCTTTCAGAAATTCCATCACCTCAACCCTAAACATTAATAGATGCCTTTCCAGTCTCTCTTTCTATCTCTCTTATCTCTTCTTTTTCCATTCACAAGCTCCAGCTACATGCATTCTCTTGCCATTCCCCAAGCACAGCAAATTTATTTCCAATTCAAAGTTTTGATACTTACTGTTCCCTCTGATTCAAATATTCTTGCTCCAGATTTTGCATGGCTGACTTTAAAGTAATTAGATTTCTGCTTAAGTGTCATCTGCCGTAAGGAAACCTTCCCTAACCATCCAATCCAAAATCATACTCCCACGTAACTGACCCTAACTGATCAGCCACCCTCAGTCTCATACACTGCTTTGTTTTCTCCATGGTAATTATTACTTTATCATGTTAGTTACTGTAGCTCACAGAGTCTAAGACACCTTTGAATGTGTCTGCATATATACACATATGCTGTTGTTCAGTGCCATCGAGTTGATTCCGACTCATAGCGACCCTGTATAGGGTTTCTGAGGAGCGACTGGTAAGTTTGAACTGCTGAGCTTGGAAGGTTGCTTACAACCTTGTACTTATCCTACAGTGCCACACCAGGACTCGTTATACATATAAATCTTGCCTTCAGAGTTGTTAAAATGTCACTCAAAAAAATCACTATCTATTGTAAGATATCACCAATTATAAATAGCATCATAATTTCAGAAGATGCTAAAATGTGCAGAAACATGTGTCTTAAAAATATAATATTTGAATTTGATTTATTTTTAATCTTTTTTCCCCCACAAAACTGTAAGCTCTATTAAGATTGGAACTTATCTTGTTTATTACTGTATCATCAAGACTTAAAACAGTGACTGGCATATAATTATGAACCTCAAGGTTAGCAGTTCGAAACTACGAGCCATTCCACTGGAGAAAAATGAGGCTTTCTAGTCCTGTGAAGATTTACAGCTTTGGAAACCTTATACAGGGTTGCTATGATTTGGAATCAACTACACAGAGCATAACCACCACCACCATGACCTAACCCTGGAGTCCTGGTGTAGTGCTGTAGGATAAGCACTAGTCTGCTAACCGCAAGGTCAGTGCTTCAAACCCATGAGCCGCTCCTTGGAAATCCTATACAACTCACTATGGATCAGAACCAACTCAACAGCACTTAACAACTACAGAAATGATCTAACCCTACCCTATCTAAACTTTGTTTTCCACACACCCCAATGTAATATATATGCTTAATAATAAATGACATCAAGAACATCATACGTGAAGAGAGCAAAAAGTCATTAAGAATACAAGAAAGAAGGAAAAGGTCAAAATGGATGTCAGAAGAGACTCTGAAGCTTGCTCTCCAGCATAGAGATGCTAAAGCAAATGGAAGAAATGACGAGGTACAAGAGCTGAACAGAATATTTCAAAGATCAGCTCGAGAAGATAAAGCCAAATATTATAATAAAATGTGCCAAGATCTGGAATCAGAAAACCAAAAAGGAAGAACACGCTCAGCATTTCTCAAGCTGGGGGAACTGAAGTAAAAATTCAAGTCTTGACTTTCGTTATTCAAAGATTCTCTGGGCAAATTATTGAATGATGCAGAAAGCATCAAGAGAAGATAGAAGGAATACACAGAGTCACTGTACCAAAAGGAAATGGTCCATGTTCAACCATTTCAAGAGGTAGCATATGATCAAGAGCCAATGAAACTCAGGGAAGAAGTCCAAGGTGCATTGAAGGAATTGGCAAAGAATAAGGCACCAGGAATTGATGGACTCAAAATTGAAATCTTTCAAGAAAGTGAGGCGGCACAGAAGGCACTCACTCATCTCTGCCAAGAAATTTGGAAGACAACTATCTGGTCAACTGATTGGAAGAGATCCATATTTGTGCCCATTCCAAAGAGAGGTGACCCAACAGAATGCGGAAATCATCGGACAATCTCTTTGATATCTCAAGTGAG